AGTCTCATCAGCCAAAATTTAAAAAACGGATGCCTGATTCACCTCCTCAATTATTTTGCTCTTCAGAACGTCAGAACAAATTTCAACCAATTCATTTTGAATTTGATGCGATATATATAGTGAACCAAGAGGTATAAGGTTATATGGCCATCATAAAATTAGTTGACCGCAAATAAATACCCCCTTTGTGTGGTTCGCACTAAGCTTACCGATTGGCAATAAATCATCTTCTAAACATTTCTTGCTCATATTTAACAGGGCCGGCTTTCAAAGCGAGTGGTTATTTCGGAACCCTCAGCGGCTGCAGGTAGCAAAGAAATAGTGGAGTGGTGGATTTTCATATTTAGTGAAAGCCGCCCCTGAACGAAACCGCAAGAGCCGGTCGAGCTGTAGTGGACTCGTTATTTACGACCCTAAAACCTTTTCTATTGTAAACAACTTAACTTCGATACAATGGGATGATTTTATGATGGCCATATAACCTTATAGCTCTTGGTTCACTATACAAAGAGTTTCTTGCTCCTGACTCTAAATGATTTTTTAAAATTTCATCTCGTAAATGGAGCAAATATACTATATCCTATAATGTATGGGTGCACCCCCCTGCAAATAATCCTGCCGGCGCCCATGTGTCTGTCCGTCTGATTTGTCCGTCTGCCTGCCGTCCCGGATTTTTATTAGACAGATAATCTCTGAAAGTACTGGACCGATTGTTGTAAAATTTTGTATTTATATTAGGAATATCATGTAGATGGTAAAACGCTAACCAAAATTTGTCTAATCATCCCCACCACTATTGCGATGTCGTCACTTCCAAATTGTACAAAGTAAATGGGTTTAAGATTGTATAAAATAACATAGTCCTACACATATAGTTTATGACTCTGAATTGAGTTTTTACCCGAAACGTCCAGATTTTTGGAAAAAAATCAAAACTATGAAACAACATTTTGCAATTTAATTTTGAATCTGCAAAACCGAATGCTTTGAAAAATTGAAAAATATATTTCTTTATCCCCTCCAAAAAATTGATGACGTCAGCTCAAAAGTTTGCCGAATAAATCCTATCTAAAATTTACAAAATATGATGAGTGATTTATCATTCCATTCATATTTTTGGATTTGCAGATACAGGGTGACTCAAAAAAATTAATGAATCCGTGAATTTATTTTATTGATTTAATCAGGAACTACAAAACCAAATGCTTTGAAATCTTGCAGATGTTTTAAAGTTATCATAAGCATGGCAAATGTTTAGTCAAAATGTATTTGCTCACTAATGCGATGACGTCACTTCAAAATTGTACATAGTAAATGGGTTTTCAATTGTATAAAATAACATAGTCCTACACATGTAGTTTACAACTCCGAATTGAATTTTCACCCGAAACGTCCAGATTTTTGGAAAAAAAATCAAAATTATAAAACAACATTTTGAAATTTAATTTTTAATCTGCTAACCAGAATGCTTTGAAATGTTGCAGATGTTTTAAGGCTATAAAGAGCATCATAAATCTTTAGTCAAAAAATATTTGCTTATCCCCTCCAAAAACTTGATGACGTCAGCTCAAAAGTTTGTGGAATAAATCATATCTAAAATGTACAAAATATGATGAGTCTGTACTTGTGATCTATCACTCCATTCATATTTTTTGGATTTGCATATACAGGGTGACTCAAAAAAATTAATGAATGCGTAAATTTATTTTCTGATTTACTCAGAAACTACAAAACCGAATGCTTTGAAATCTTGCAGATGTTTTAAGGTTATAAAGAGCATAATAAATGTTTAGTCAAAATATATTTGCTTATCCCCTCCAAAAAATTGATGACGTCAGCTCGAAAGTTTGCCGAATAAATCCTATCTAAACTGTAAAATATGATGAGTCTGTACTTGTAATTTATCACTCCATTCATATTTTTTGGATTTGCATATACAGGGTGACTCAAAAAAATTAATGAATGCGTAAATATATTTTATTGATTTAATCAGGAACTACAAAACCGAATGCTCTGAAATCTTGCAGATGTTTTAAGGTCATAAAGAGCATAATAAATGTTTAGTCAAAATATATTTGCTTATCCCCTCCAAAAACTTGATGATGTCAGCTCGAAAGTTTGCCGAATAAATCATATCTAAAATGTACAAAATATGATCAGTCTATACTTGTGATCTATCACTCCATTCATATTTTTGGTATTTGCATGTACAGGGTGATTGAAAAAAATTAATGAAAGCGTAAATTTATTTTACTGATTTACTCAGGAACTACAAAACCGAATGCTTTGAAATCTTGAAGATGTTTTAAGGTTATAAAGAGCCTAATAAATGTTTAGTCAAAATACATTTGCTTATCCCCTCCAAAAAATTGATGACGTCAGCTCGAAAGTTTGCCGAATAAATCCTATCTAAACTGTACAAAATATGATGAGTCTGTACTTGTGATTTATCACTCCATTGATTTTTTTTTGGATTTTCATATTCAGGGTGACTCAAAAAAATTAATGAATGCGTAAATTTATTTTGTTGATTTACTCAGGAACTACAAAACCGAATTCTTTGAAATCCACTGCGAAAAAAAAACATAATAGACATGCAGTCGTCACGTTTCCGACAGCGAGGGAAGTACTGTCGAAACTCTTTAGACCAATTTTTTGGATTTGCATATACAGGGTGACTCAAAAAAATTAATGAATGCGTGAATTTATTTTATTGATTTAATCAGGAACTACAAATTCGAATGCTTTGAAATCTTGGAGATGTTTTAAAGTTATAAGCATGGTAAAATGTTGATCAAAATGTATTTGCTCATCCCCCTAAATATTTATGACGTCACCTTAAAATTTTGCTGAATATACCCTATCTTAAATGTGCAAAGTATGATGAGACAATACTTGTGATTTAACACTACATTAATTTTTTTTGGATTTGCTTATATGGGGTGCCACAAAAAAATTAATAACTTAGTCATTTAATTTTATTGATTAAATACAGAATTGCAACACTGAATACTTTGAAATCTTGCAGACGCATTTATCTTAAATTACAAGTACTATACAGGGTGTTCCTTTAACATATTATACACTCCAGAGACGACTTCGTTCAATTTAATTTTTTTTTTAATAAGCAATCATAGCAATCACAAAAAAAATGACAAATATGTCAATGCCAAATAATGACAAAATTGAAAAAATTAATACTCATTTCATTTTAAAATACCCCGCTACAAAAATGCAGTTTATTAATTTACTCAGGAACTACAAAACCGAATGCTTTGAAATCTACTGCGAAAAAAAAACATAATAGGCATGCAGTCGTCACGTTTCCGACAGCGAGGGAAGTACTGTCTAAACTCTTTAGACCAATTTTTTCATTTCTTATGACAGTAAATTAGGTTAAACTACATATCAAAAAATTGTCTTTGAAGGGATTTTATGCTAAAAAAAAGTAGGAGGTGCTATTTAAAAAATTATCAATGACGTCATATATCTGTCAAATATCGCTCAAAACTTTTGAAACTAATATTACAGAATGGCAATTTTTATATACTAATCGACGTGTTTTTGCGTTTGTACTGCTCGAGCGTAGGCTAAGAAATATTGTTTGTTTTCTTTCATAGTACAGTTCCTACACAACATCAGTATCTAGTAAAATTTTACAACCGCTACTTTCAGGGATTGTCGGACAATGCAGGGGGATAATGACGCCAATAAAAGGAGCGTGTCGCCAGGGTATAGTGGGCTAGAAACATCCAGGGTTGCATTGAATTTGTGATTTATGGTTTTGTAGGTTCAACCTTCATGGTTAACTTTGAAATACCAATAAAATAGTAGAATAGGAACTGTAGATATATATTTTAGTTCCTTATTCTGCTCTACCACCAAGCCGAGATACACACAGAGATACACTTGCCCCAGCTGACAATAGCAGTAATAAAACTATTGTCAACGAAGCGAACGATTTTAACCCTTAGAGATGAGTGACAGCTGTCATAACGAGGTAGCATGGGTTGTTTTACAAGTTGCATATCTTTTAAAATAGAAATTTTCTTGAGCTGTGGTGCAGCCTTAACTTTAGACCAATTTTTGAAAAAAAAAAATCAAAATTGTGTACATTTTACAATTTACCTTTGAAATTGCAAAACTGAATGCTCTGAAATTTTGCAAACATTTTAAACTTCTCGTAGGTATCGTTAATCAAAATTTATCCGTTTATGCCCCTCCCCCATTGATTAATGGCTTCTACAATTGTGTCAAATAAAATCTGGTGAGAAGAAACCATGATAGGCATGGAGTCACGGTTTTGAAAACGAAGGAAGTACTGTTTAAACTTTTAAGACCAATTTTTACTTCCACTTTTTACTAATAATAATAATAATAGCCATGACGATATACAACGCTCTAGGCCCGTGCCATTATTACACATCTTAGCAGGCGAAGGGGGTACACCGGCCTAAGAGTTTAATGGCTTTATAGTGATTCTACTCATATTCAGATGGCGATGAAGTTGGTAAGTCAGAAATGGCATAACACAATTTGTGTGTGTCTCAGCTAGTCTCTTAGGCCCGAATATTCTCTAGCCCCGTGGAACGTTTATGTGTTATCCTGACTGTGTTGAAAAATTTACCAGGATGTCTACTTGGACATTGACAACTCCACCATCATATTATAATTAACATTTATACAAAATATTGTAAACATGAAAGCTTGAATAAATCTATTTGATTTAAAATTCGGAAATTGATATGTTTTCATGTAATTAAACGAAAAATTGAGCAAGGTTGGTTGCATACTACATTCGCAATGATTTGCAACCCTTACAACAGAACACAGCGGCTTTACAATTAAGCTTTCATCTTGAGAACAGCAATGCAAATCTTAAGTTTTATATTTTCGTTTATTTAGTCTCGAATTCAACGGTTTTGCAATTCTGCATTCCTGTTTGCAGAAAGCAATTACTTGCACGTTTGTGTTTACTCTCGAGTTAAAAATACGAGCTGTGAATTTAAGACATTTTTTATTATATTATAAAATTTAATACAATATTAACATGTAAAGTCAGTGTTTAAAATTACAAAAATATCAAAAATTATCACAACTTGTAAACAAAACAAAAAAAAAAACAAAAGAGACAGCTGATCCACTAGTTTCATCTTCGCTTAGTTCTCTGATACTGGATCCAGTTGTACACGTCTCGACCACTGCGATCAGAGAAGAGCTGGTTCGTTTCAACAAATTCTGCACACAGCTTCGGTGGTGCCAAATGACCCCTGGATATGTATTGCGAAAAATGTCTCTGCATTAAAGACATTTGCTCTGAGGTGAATGGTTTCTTTCCTCTTCTCTTTACAGGAGTTATTTGCAATTTCTGCTTTATCTCCGCGATTGTCGTTTTTCTTGGTGATTTCTGCGATTTTGGTGACTTCGTGTTCAAAGTTCCCCTGTGACTCGATATTTTTTTCTTTGGTGTTTCAATCCTCCGGTCTTCAGTACTGGCTCTCGCTATAAAAAATATCAGCAATGATATACAATTTTCTAGACTTTTCAGCATACGTACCCCCTACTTTTTCAGAAAGCGCTTCTTGTGTAGTATGTGTAACTTTGTCACACTTTCGACGATCCGAAGGCACTTCAGTAATATTGTCTGTAGTATAACATTCTATCACACCTGATTGTGAGACTTGAGTGTCTGTTGATACCTCCTGCATGAGGTTCGTTTCCATTCTGTTGATTGTACTTTCTGTTGAACAGGTAGTTTCAAACGAATCCAAACTGAGATTGTCTCCTAATAATTCTTCAGAGGTAATATGATCGTCTAACGCCGGATCCTCTTCAGGTACTGGTAAATCTTGTGCAATAGTGAGTATTTCGTCGAGACTTTTACCTCTGTATGAAAAGAGTTCTTCTCCATCTACGATAGTCAAAAATTTTGCCCACCCTGTTAGTTGAAATAAAAGTTCGTCTTGTCGATATACTTGTTCATGGACTTTCTGACTATGACCCATCAATTTTGCAATCTGACCGATTTCATTGTCATTCATTGTTAACAATTGGGAAAGGGTTGCGACTTGTTTTCTTAAATAAGCGGAACGTAAAAGATGCGGTTCTTCAGCACCACATTTCTCTGAGTAATCTCTTAAAACAACTGAAGCATCGATAAACATCGCTCTCGTAGGTATACCAAAAAGGTAATTGTTTGAATAGGGAACACCAGCTTCTTTTCGATATTGGAGAAACATATCTAGATACCTACAACACAATCAAAAATCTTTTAAAAAGTAGAAAAATCAAAGTACTCATTTACCTGCATTGATTTTCGTCCAACAGCACATGTAATATATGTAGACGCTTTCCAATCAAAGTCATAACTTTGTATTTATTCGCTAACTCCCGTTGATACATTGGAAGGGATTGAAGTATTTCATCATCAAGTTCGATTTTTTTGTTATACAATTCCAACGACATACTTGCAACTTCACTGACTCTACGTCTATTGTACACAATAACTCTTGCCAACGCAGCCTTTCCTAATTTTAGCCATGTGTCGAAATCGAAACCGTCCTGTAACCGTTGATACGCCTGCTCCGCTTCAGAAACTATCAATGTGGAAAATAATTTAACGTCCTTTGCCTTTGGTAAATTATGTAATTTGGCTGCTTTTCTTTGCAAGCTGGTTCGACCAGCTGACCTGCCAACATAGATTCCATAGTTTTTATCATGGAGAGTTTTGAAATTGTCGAAACGGCCACGCTCTTCACATTGTGTGGGAAGATTATGAGTTAAATAATCAACGTTAAGTGCGTCTAAAAGAAATGTAATACTCGATCGTAAAGCTTTTGCCAGACTTGGCTTTCCAAACTCGCCTGTTTCCTTGTCAAGTGAACACAAATTGAAAACTCCCTCTAGTAAGGCATCATAACCTCCATAGAGTATCAGATCTTCAAAATCCAGAATGGAGGGGTTTATGTCTTTAACATCTAAAATCAATCGTGCCATTCTACGCAAATGTTGGCGATCGTTCTTTAATGCGCTGTATGAACCACGATGCATTAAGGAATATCTTTCAGCAACAAGTTTCAAACATTTATCTTCTAATATCTCGTGTAGAATTAGCCCAACTTGAACAGGCTCTAAGAAAGCGAGAAAAAGTTTCTGACTGAAAGAATTCGCTGTAAATTCCTTCTGGATAATCTTAAAGCGAGCTTCTTTAAGCACATTTCTTCTATTTGGTGGCCGTCCAGTACATTTGCGTTCATGTCGAGCAAAGTTTCTGGTCATTATTTCACCAAAACAATTTGGGCAAGTAATTAAATTGGAGGCTTGTCCTGTCACTACTCTCCTTATAGCAATTTTTTCCTCACAGGTGGCATTTTTGTTAAAATTATAATCACCCTTTCGCCTGATCTCTCGTAACGCAGCATTCCGTTCCACACTATTAGCTTTCATAGTCATAATATTTTTCACTTCTTCCTGATCTTTGTGTTTTCGAAGAATATGTGAAGACATTTCAACAAAAAACTGTTCACAGAAATAACAACAATGGCGTTTTCCTTTGGTTTTTGACGTTAATGGGTTTACTAGGGCAGAAGAACCACAATCCATAATTAACGGTGTTATGAACTTACGTTCCTCTTCAATCGGCAGTTCCTCCCCTATTAATTTTCCGACGGGGAGACAGTAACGAACTTTCACTTGGATTTCACGTTCGCCAAAATTTCTAGACAGCAGCACAAGTGTTCTGTTTTTGTCGGAAAGTTTATTACCTACAACAAAAATTAAACTTCGATTTGCATTTTTTTGTTACTATACATACATTTATGGTCTGTCGCGGGCAAACCAGAATACAAAAATCCGCTGATGGTATTGTCATCTCCACTGCAAGCATCACAAACGTAATGCCCTTCATGTAAAACGGTGTGTATCTTCACTGAAACGAAACATTTCTTTATATAAATGGTCAAATGAGCGGAAATCCTGCAGTTTGATTCTTCAACAGGCGAAACCAATGGCGTAAACATCAAGTCAAAGTCTTCATTGCGGTTCGAGGTAGTGGGCATTGAAGAACTACTTGAACTTTGTCCTTCTATAAATATTTGAAAAATTATTAGAACATTATAAACGACTAATATTAGGTATAACGTAAGTTGTAAAAATCTCTACAGATGAGAGTAACTTACTTTTCAAATGGCATTGCATACATTATTTATTGGGTTGTTCCAGAGAATTATACAGGGTTAGTATAAAGTCCCGAAACGTTTGAATAACTTTGTTATTTGAAAAGTTTTTTTTTCTGAAATTTGCTTTGGATGTATAATTAAACATGGCAACTTTAATGGAACACCCAGATGTTGTTTCACTAGAAATAAACAAGTTGATAATTTCTGAAATTAGTTTTTTATTCTGCATCAGAAAATGCCAAAAAAACCTGTATGTTGTAATCAATGCAATCAATGTTGTAGGTATATATCCAAAAAAAATTTCAGCAAAAAACTTTTCAAATAAAGTTATTCGCCCGTTCCGGGACTTTATACTAACCCTGTATATTAAAATATACTACATTTAGGTATCAGGCATAGCTAGAAAAAATTTTTCTAGTTATTTAAAAAAAAAAGTTTTGGTATGCCAAAAGTCTTATTTGCAACTTACATAACACCCGATTGGTGGTTTGGAGTTTAACATTTGAGTTAAGAAAAGATTTTTCAGATGGACGAATAAAAATATGTGATGGATGTGTGTAAGTTGTTTGTTTTCAAAAATGTGTAATATTGGTTTATGTTTATGCACGAAAGTATATTGGAAATAGCATATGTATAATGTATAGGTAATTAGTGTTACATGTGTTATGTAAGTTACGTTTATTATGTTAAGTTAGGTACTAATCATTTTTATAGCATCTTTGGAAATGTTAGCAAGAAAGCTAACGAAAAAAAATTGACATTTTAATAAAATTGATCAGAATCCGAGAAAATAGAAACCTGAGTTTAAGACAAGAGTAAAAAAATCTAAGTCGGCCATTAAAAAGACGTTTTGGATTTTTTTTACAAAAAGCCTGAATATTTCGTAATTATAATTACTTAATGAAATACCTACCTCCTTCAAACAATCTTTTCTTGCAAGTCTGTAACTGAGACTTCGTGTGCTCAGATGTTTCGCCATTTTCATCGCTTTCTTCTGACACTTCAGAAGTTGGCTCATATTCTTCGTCGGTAGCATTACTTTGGAAAGGTTCTTCGTCGCTGTCACTTATCTCGTATCGGCTGCAGGGTACGTATTCAAAAACGATCTCTTCTATTGGTCGCACCAAATCAACTTGCCAACATTCTGTGTCCTCTAAATGTTGTTTTGCCAATTTCAAAACATTCAGATCTATAGAAGAAGATTGACATGAAATAGATTGATTATAAAGAGTAGAAATGAGTTACCTGAACTACTCATTATAACATTGTCCAGCATCCTTTTTTTGAGTGTTTTATGCCATATTTGAAAGATTTTAGGAGTTCCCTCTGAATATGTCAGGTGATGGGTAAGACGTTTTTTTTTTCTGAAAAATAAGTGATGAACTCGTTAAGACCATAACACAAACACTGGTTCTAAAATTTCTTGGGCGAAACGAAAAAGAAAAAATGCGAAAACATGACAATTTTTTGCTTTGAGCCAGATACACCTTGCCACATATTGGTGTATCGAACTTTTGAAATATCGTGTTTTAATTTTTTTGTTTTGAAGCAAGAAAACAAAATTCCCGTTTTGTTTCTATTTTGAAACCGGAAAACGGGTTTTTCCTGCTTGTTAAGTATTTTTGTTTGAAGCGAATAATTACATAATTATAAGTACCAAATGAAGTTCCAAGATTCCACTACTGATCACAAGCTAAATTTCTAACAATTTTCTACGAAAGCAAAAAGCGAAACTACTTACCAATGCAATCTTTTGACTTCAGTCATTGAAGCGCACAAGGGATCAGGGCAGAAATATAAAACTGTGTCGTCCTCTTCTAAGACCACCACTCTGGCATGAGATAAGCATTGTTCACAAATAACATGCCCGCATGTGACTAAGTAGAAAGACTTACTGGGCAACAATGGCAATCTACAGGAGTGGCATACAATTTTTCCTAATAAAAAAAAGTGAAAAATAAAATGTCAAACACATTTTGTCATAACATACTCATGAGGGGCAACGGATAGTTTTCTTGAGGCTTACAGACTACACATGTTTTTCTTATACAAGTTTCTGTTCTTGTGAGCTCCCTTGTACACATATGATTCTGGATATCTGCTTTATAACTATTTGTTATAACATAGGCTAGCCGACGCAGTTCGATATTAATATTTTGTGAAAAAGGCATCTCCTCACTTTCAACCTGCTCTATTTCCTGCGGAGTTAAATTATGTACCATGATGCACTTTAAACTGCCCAAACATTGGATCTTGTTACATATAATAAATTCATGGCGGTATTTGCACTGAACCCTTCTACATCTCTTCATTAAGAACTCTCTGCAGGGAGTGGGTGTTAAAATTCTAAAAACGAGATCATATAGCACATAAAATTTCAGCGGATCGAACCGATGAGCTACTTGAAGCTGATCGATTAAATTGGAGTCAAAGACGAAAAATTAAAAAAAAAAGTACCAATAAAAGAAAGTGGACAACTTCCCTCCTCTATTTGGCCTCTGCATACAGGGCATTGAGGCATATCACGTGCAATCAATTCTCTTAAACAACCTTCGCAAGTACTATGCATACAAGGGTTCAAAATGCACCAAGAGGTCATGCTTATTTCGGAGAAACAGACTGGACAAATAAACTTATCATTTTCTTGTTCCTCTATTGTCCTATGAGTAAATTTGCATTTGCTTCCGTATTTACAGTTGCCGAATTGTTTAAATTCTTGACAAATGCCCGAAATTTGTAATGTTCTCAACGTCTCGTACCTCATGGTGTCGCTTTGATATAGCGTTTCTCTGTACTGGATTTCATCTTTTGAGGACACATGAAGGTATCGACAGTACTCTCTATGACATCTCTCCATTTGAAAGTCCCGACAGAACTTATAGGGATGCTTTAAATTGCACATCGGATCTTTACATTCCCCCTTCGAGAATTTCGTACAATAACTACGACAAAAATAAATACTGAAACTTTGACTTGAAGTGTTGCACTTTAATCAAAATATAATCTAGTGTTGAAAAATTGTGACTTCAAAGAGATTAATTAAAAACTGTTTTCAGGGAACAATTTGAATATACACCGTTTTTTTAGGAGTTGCGTATTTTTTACTTTTATACAGGATGGCAGGTTTGAATTGCCAAACGTTAACGCAAGCTGTATCACTTCAAATCAAGCAAGAAATCATCCTTAAGAAGTTGGGGTCGCAAATGTGCTGTTATCGACCTTGCCAATTTTGCCGTTAGTACTCTTTCTGACCCTGCGTTAATAGATCCTCAAAAGCGTATTTTAATTCGGATTGGAGCAAACTATGGCCCCAACTTCTTAATAATTGTTGGTTTGTTTTGACGTGATAATGCAGCTTGTGTTATCGTTTGACACTTTGTATAACATAAAATTGTAAGTGAATTATTTTAAAATGAAATCAAAACATGCATGTTGAACTTACTATTTCTAAATTTCACGTAAACAATACGTTACTGTACTTTTTATCTTCTGTTAATGGGAAGAATATATCCAATAATTACAAAATTAAAAAAATGCTGATATGTACTTATCATTTTTGTTATTTTTTTGTTCTATATCGCTGCTTTTCTAAATGTGCATGTCCAGAGTTTCCCTCACTTTCAGAGTATTCTAATTTTTTTATTATTACCTATTCGTAGTTTTTTCAAAATACTTTTTAATGAGATATTACAAATTTCGCAGGGCGAGTCATTCACCGCGCGTTCCTTGATGTTTCATCAATTATTAGAAATGATAATTTATTTTTGAAATTCCGATGCCACGTTGGCACGCTATTCCAATTTTCTTCAATTTTTTTGGGAATGAAAGTATTCACAAATAAAATCGCAGCAGGGTTATTTTTTAAATTTGTGTAACAAGATTTTGTGGAAAGACGCGCTTTGTTGTGGTATAAATAAAATTAAATCTTCATGTACATAATGTTTATCAAAAAAATAAGTATTACAATTTTCAAATAACGATATTCCAATTTTTTCAAATACAACATCATGTATTTTATTATCGCATCTCATTCTATTTTTTGTTTTCTTCCCCATTTGTTAAGTATTTTCTATATTTAAAGTTGAGAGTTCCTATGTTTTTTTTTTACTTTTTTAAGAGACATTGACATATTGAAAAAATGAGCACAAAATTAGAATAAGATATCGTAATAAAACACTGTGTGCTAATGGAAAAATATAAATATCCATATTTGTAAATTGTATTAAACTATCAGAACTTTTTTAAACAATGGGTATTTTAAAATTTGATTTAATTGGTACGACAACAAAGTGCCAAATATTGTAACACACAATTTGCGATTTTTTTGATAACTCTTTCATTGTCGAAAGAATTAAAAAAAAAAGGAATAACGTGGCAACCTCGCAATCGATTTTAAATGATAAATTATGCTTATAAAAACCAGGAAATGGCTAGTAAATGTAGAAATATATGGGCGTTTCATTAAAAAAAAAAAAACAAGCAGTGTCCCAACCCTAATAAACTGAAGATTCTGAGTTAAATAAAAATAATTTTAGCATACAGCCCTCAAAGTATCGTAAATTTTGGTGCTTGACTTTTTTTCTAACAATTTATGAGTTATCGATGACCGCGTGTTTTGTGACTCACCCTGTATAATGATATGAAATTTTTGCGATAAAATTCAGGTCTGTTAGAAGAAGAAAGAAAGCAAGCCAATACAACTAGATTTTAATAACTACCCAAGCTCTAATCTACTCCCACTACTAGCACTATTAACATATACTCTTTTCTACTGTGTTGTTAAATAACTGCGTAACACATTAGACAAATTTTTTGATTAATTGAAGCCAATGGACTTAAAATATATTCAAATTGATAGCAGGGCGTTCCGATTTTATTGTTCTGTTGTATAACTGACGCGAAGTAGTTTTTATCATTTGCGAAAGTTGCAGACTCGATATTGTCCCTAGACCAGGGTTGGCCTGACTTTTTGATTTAAATCGTAATTTAAACCAAGTATTTTTTTTTAATCATTGATTTAAATCATTCTTGATTTTTTAAATTTTCTTTTTGAATTACGAGCATATAATGCATGTTACAGTCTTTTAAATGCAATTTAATTCAATAAGGGTACTACCTGAGTGCCGCCGCAATTTACGTAGATTTTTCCGGGACACCACGAAGGCGAAAGATCCGTTACAATTTACAAGTACAATCCAATTCTCCTAACTTTGGCAGTGTCGTAAATTAATAGCAAAAAACAAGCATCTGGCATGTTTACGTTTACGTCTACAATGGATGCAGACCCTTTCAAGCTTTCAATAAAAGAAACTGACAATGGTTTTACGACACTTTCCCAAAATTAATAGAATTAGACTCTTGGAACGTAAAGTATTTATTTCGTCAGCTGCAGTTTACATTTGCCGATAGAGGCACGATTCAAACTAGGCAGAGCCGCATTTGTGAATGTATGAAAATACCTAGAAAATGAAAATTACAACAACTACTAAAATATAGCTTTTAAAAACTGAATAAAAATAATTAAAAGTTAAAATTTAGTTACATAACTTTTAATTTTTGTCTCACTACTTTTGAAGTTTAAATTACTGTGGGTAACCGAAAAACTAAAAAAATCAAAGAAAAATTAAAAACATTAAAAAAAACAAAAAAAATGTAATTTAAAAACTAATCATTGATTTTTGATTTTTTTTTTAATCCGATTTTTTCCAACCCTGACATAGACATATATGTATTTATAAAAATTTAGCAAACTAGCATTAGCATTTTTATTGTTTTACTCTTAGAAAGCCATTTTTGTGAAAAATTTTGTTTTTGTCGTAGAAGCTTATCGATTGAAATCAAACTGTATCACTACAAGAGCAGCATAAAAATGCAAGTACTAAAAACAATCTACAACATTTTTCAACTTTCGTATTCCTTATGGGCAGCATATGTTTTTAAACTTTAACAAAAGCAATAGTAAGTTAAAAATTTGAAAAAGAAAAAATACCAGGCTACGGCAAAAACGTTGAAACAAGATCAATTTAATAACACTAACAGAAAGATCGCTAAGAAATAAATATCTGAATTTTTATGATAACGGAACTTTAATGTTGTTTTAGATGTAATTTTTTTCAAGTCTGAGGTCATTGATAAATGAGCTTTTTTTCTTGATTACCAATATGGATCAACCACATAATTTAACAGTATTTCTAACTGAATTCAAAAAGATGGCACACTGAAATACATTTACTTTTAAATATGAAAGTATTCTCTATTCAGGCCCTTATTTTACGCCACCCGACTCTACGACTACTTTTGCGTTAAAATTAAGTTTTTGATTTTTTTTATAATTACTTTGTGTGGTTAATGGCGGTCGTCATTCAACAAATACATCGGACTAATGATACACAACTAAAATGTATAAAAATCTAAGTGAAAAAATGACCACCAAACCACTGTGGCCGGAACTCCCCTAGCGTTATCTGCACAACACGTTTTGTTCAACAATTTAAGCCAAAGTATAGAATCACCAGAAATTATTGTTATTGAAGTGCGTAATAAAAAAAATTATTCACCTACCTTTCTCTAGAACGACCTAGGCCAGAACTTCCTGCTTCCGAGTCACACATATTGTGATAAAATTCACTTTTTTTACGTAACAACGATGGCAGAATAAACAACGATGGCAGAATAAACAACGATGGCAGAATAAACAACGATGGCAGAATAAACAACGATGGCACAATAAACAACAATAGCGTGATAACAACAACAGCGGCTACATTCGACTCTTCGTTACAACTACAAATTGGAGACTGACGGGACGCGGTGGTAGGCTGGTAGGTTGGCGGCAAGTGCAGTAGACAGTATTGCACAATATTATTACACTTGCTACAGATTTCCAAGGTCAACGAGACAACGCTGGATGCATCAGATGCAGATGCATCGTTCCCTAATTTGATTTAAATGTTTGCAGTAAAATAACGATGAGTAACATTTTCATGCTGGCATATAACGCAGACAAATAAACTTTAAAATTATTCAATACGCTACGATACTGCTATCAATGGTTACCTATTTATCAGTAAAAAATTAGAAATTTGTCATTCTCGTTAATATTTTGAGCCTCAATAAAGTGGCAACAGCGCTGAAAATTTCAATTCAAGTCAATTTTTAATTAAAAAAGCGATATTCTGTTTAACATTAAAATAACAGAGACGTTAATCTCTTACTATCTTATTTGTAAATATGCAAATTAAGTTTCGCATTGCTGTTCGCAATATGAATGGAAAATTGCAACACCGTTTTGGTAATACCAAACGAGAATTCTAATAATATAACCTATAAATTTTTGACTTTATTTCTGCTTTCAGGACTAAGAGACTTCTCTTAGCGGTGTTACGGGGATAAGCACGTTATGATACGATTTCACCTTTGATGCCTAAATAATTATTACTTAACAAGATATTCCGCTTCCTTTTAGGGATGAATATTAAATTTTGATTTGGAACTTTTGAAAGTCAAGTTCTTACTGAAAATTCTATTTTTATGAATCATTACAAAAAAATTGTTACAAAACAACGAAAGCGGCTTCATAAATTTACGTATCTATTCTAGAAATTGGTATATTCAGAAAAATGCAGTTTGTTGAGTTAACTATTAAAATTTTGGTAATGACGGAACGCGTCCTATGAAAAAAAATGCTTCTTTAATTTCAAAACGTGTATTTAACTCGAGAGTAAATAAACGTAAAGATAAATATGCAACTTAAGTTTAGCATAGCTGTTCGCTTCATGAATGCAAAATTGCAACACCCTTTTGGCAATACAAACAGAAATGCTAATAACATAACTTCAAAATTTTTGGCCCAATTTACGTTTTCGATCCAAATAGCCGTCTCTTATCGTATGAGGATCGCGGAAATAAAGCACCTTAAGCAAATTTATAGACGTTTACGAATAAATGATTATTTAATCACACATTCCGTTTTTACATTCTGACTGTTAGACAGATTTTGAAAACTCTGAATATAGCTGCTAATATAAGTTAGTATAAATTTTGGACGCTGTGACTTACAAACGATGAACGCCGTACTTTATACATTCTGATTTATAACCAACGCGCGGAGTTGTGTTTCATACGCTCGATCCAGTGCTGTCGCGGCGATAGTTTGATTACAAATATATTTTTCTTTTGGACTACATCAACATAATATAACATTTTGGAGACCACAAATGTGTGGTCCTGTGTTTGAAAAATTAAAAATTGCATCGAGTATTTTTATTTGAAGTAATATAGTAATCAGTGTTGGGGACAGATACTTTTAAAAGTATCTAGATACAGATACAGATATATGGAAGATAAAAGTATCTAGATACAGATTGTTTTCGACTTTTTCGAAATGTATCTAGATACAAGATACAAGAAAACAGATACTTTTTGAAACTTTGGCGAATAAAATAACTGAAAACTTTTTATGTATTTTTTTATGTATTGTTTAATGAATTTTTTAAAATTAACAACATTTCAAAAGTATTATCACCTAAATTATTTCTTCGTGGTGTCAGAATTTGGTTTCCAGTACTAAACACCCGTTCCACAGGTGCAGAAGAAGGGATTGTGGTATTAAATTTAAAAAATAAACATTTTACAGTTGCATAGTTATGCAAGACTGAAAAATCTTTTCTTTTTTCCTGCAAATAGGCCATCGCTTCGC